TGTGCACATGTGTCTATACAAGCGTGTGGCTGAGGACTAGGAGGAGAAACCTGAGGTGCCTGTGGTGGTCACCCAGAAAACAGCCATGAGACAGGAGGCAGTGCTGAGGAGAGGGCCCTGGCTTGGTGCCTTCGGAGTTGGTAGCAGACTGGGTGGCATAGTCAGCAGCCCTAGTGCTCTCCAAGCAGGTTCAGCAGATCTTCAGGAAGGAGCCTGCCAATCCTGGGCTTTTTCTGCCGCTCCACCTGTTTGCTGTTGCTCCTGGGTCTGGGTTCTGATCCTGAATGGGCTGCAGAGTGACTTTGGGCAAGACTAATGCTTCTCCCAGGGCATCAGAATAAGGAGGGATGAGACCCCGGGAGCAAGAAGGGTCCTTTTAACTCAAAAGCCCATGAATATCCAGTGCCCCCGTTTGGCCCCTCAGGTGAGGCATTTCTCCAGCCAGCCACAGGGAGGTGTGGGAGGTTCTCCTAGGCTTCTCTCCTCCCACCCCACCTCCCCAGCAGAAGTCCCAGGTGCCTCCTAGAGCACCAGACACCTGCTCCTGGGTGGGAGGAACTCTTTGGGCCAACCTGGACTCATCAACACAGAGAGGTATGGAGCAGCCAGGCAGGCTGTGGCTCCTCCAGGGGGCAGTGTGGTACCCTCTGGAGAGGTGCCCCATGGCTAGATAAGATAGGGACTTGACAGGGCCTGTTTCCCCCATGGCTAGCTAAACTGCTGGCCCTGCTGCCTCCTGCACTGGGCCTACACTCTACCCTCTCCACACCTGCACAGCTAGGGCAATGGAGAGGATGGCTTTTGTTTCTGGCAGGAAAATATGTAAATAAGTGATATTCTCCTTTCTATGGGCTGGGTGTTGGGGGTCCTGGGAGGAGAGGGTCTGTTCATTAGGGAATTAAGCTTTTTTTTTTTTCTCCTTCCTACATCTCAACAATGATGAACATAAAAACTAAGCAGGGGCTGGGATTGTGGCTCAGGGGTAGAGCACTCGGCTAGCATGCGCGGGACCCGGGTTCTATCCTCAGCACCGCATAAAAATAAAGGTGTTGTGTTGTGTCCATCTACACCTAAAAAATAAATATTAAAAAAAACAACAACTAAGCAGCTGCTTCAACCCACTCTCACCCCACTAGCCAGCCAGAGTGTACAGGGCTGGGGCTGGGGTTCAGGGTCTAAGAAGAAGAGAAGTCTCAAGCTTTGTCCCAAGCATCTCAGGTCTGAATGAAGTCCCTGAAAGATACCATGCATAGCCCCCCCATTTGGGTTGGGGATTGAACCCAGGGGCACTTTATCACTAAGCTACACCCCCAGTTCTTTTTTCTTTTTATGTTGAGACAGGGTCTGGCTAAGTTGCTGAGGGTCTTGCTAAGTTGCTGGCCTTGAACTTGTAATCCTCTTGCCTAAGGCTCCTAAGTTGCTGGGATTTCAGGCATGTGCCACCTGGCTCAGTGAGGCTCTGTCTCTAAAGTGGCTCAGATGCAGCTCAGACTGGGAGCAAATTAAAGGATTTGTGATTGCACAGTTGGAGAGGGCCAAAGAGTGCTCTTCTCCCAGCTTCAACTCACTGGGCAGGGATGGGAAACTGACCAAAGAGAGGTACAGGAATCTCAGGCCTTTGACATCCACCAATATGACACATTATCAAGCTTTAATGCTTTGTCAGGCACTGTAATAGGCACCAGGGTCTTATATACACAAATACGACATGATTCAAATGCTCCCATTTAGTCTAGTGAGGGAGAGATCAGCATCTGAAATCAAGGACTCTCACCTCCCACCTGGTGGGTTCCTGATGATCTATATAAAGCACTTAGTATAGTACTGGCATGAAGTTACAGCTCAATAAGTGGCAGCTATTATTAGCCATTATTACCAGAAGCCACAGAATAAACATAGCAAGTCTTCCTGGAGTGCCAGCTTTGCCCAATGATTAGGGAGGAAACAACTTCATATGTATATCCAACACAGGCAAAACTCACTTAGGTTTTTGACATCAAACACAGATTTGGGGTCTGCCCTGCCCTATCCCATCTACCTATCTGCTTACTCCACTCCCAGGGACATGAGGACACATGGACTTCCCCTGCATTTGGGAGGTTCTCAGAGGGAAGTCTGAAGGAACACCGCATCTAGGCACTGGATGCCTTGGGTCCTGTGTTGGTAAGACGGTACTAACAATGCCAGTATGCACAATAGTGATAACAACTATAAAGTCTTGTGTGTGACAGAGCCTGGCACAATGGCTGGTCGGTAATGTGTGCTTAATAAATGTTAGGTGATCAGAGACCAATGATACAGGGCTAAGGGACACAGGAGGTGGACATGAGCTACTGTGAGAGCTTAAATCTTCCAGGTTTTCGTGAGGTGGGAGTGAGGAGCTGGGTCCTTCCAGCAGGGGTTTCTTGTGGCCATTCTGCACTGCTCTAGGTTCCACAGCTCTAGCTCTGCTAAAATCCAGGAGATAACAGTAGGTGAAGAAAGGCAGGTTTATTCAAAGCTGGCCTGAGGAAGAGAGAAGAGTCCCTTTTCTGTCTCAAATCTTCATCTTCAAGGGGGTATAGGAGCATGGAAGCTTTTATAAAAGGAGAGGGGTGCGGTGCAAAAAAAGTGGAGAAGGCACATGTGCAGATTTAGCTAGGCTGTGCCAGTCAGAAACACATCATAGCCTCAGTTTTCCTGGTGTCTGCTGGGGCAGAAGGCAGCCTCTCAGCCTCCTTCAGCAGGAGGAAACCCCAGGCACTGAAAAGCAGTTATTAGAAGTCGCTTTTAATTTCAAAGGAGCTCTGTTTCAGTCTGGGATGGAAAGGCCATTATTTGAGAACCCAGCTTTCCTCTAAATCATATTCAAGCCCCCCTTCAGATTTTAGCCTTAGTTTTCTTCTACACTTAGTATACGAATTTTCTAAGATTTGGGTTCATTGACAACCTGCCTAAGCCCAATATCACGTCAATGCTCTGTAAGTACTTGGTCTAGGCCTCCTCATGTACCCCGCCTGCCATCTGTGCTTTACGCATGTGCTTTTAACTTTCCTATGAATGTAGTTCTAAATTACCCAAAGAGCAGGGTTCTGCCTTTTTTGAAGAACTTAAGTACTGTAATATCAAACCACCTCTAATCTGTTCATTGATGGTCTTATAGAAAAATGTGGAAAAATTATTTTGACTAAGAAAGGTTTGGCCAGATTTTGAGTATTATTCATTATTATTATTATTATTATTATTATTATTATACCATTATGGTAATATATAGTAGTTGGGTCCATCCTGAAAAACTCAGACATGCATGGAAATCAATTTCAGTTAATGATTGAGTTTTCTTGATTTCTTTTTAATGACCCATTATGAATCCTTTCTCTGAGAATATATCTAAAGCTTTCAGAACTTACTTAGGTGATACATTGAATTAGTAGAATGACTATTTATATTTTGAATGGCAATATGGAGCAGAAATAAGCATGACTGACTGAATAACAGTCTGGAATTTAGTTTAGGCAGGGAGTTTTGAAGTCCTACAATAATGGTTAAGCTTTATTGAGAGAGTGATATGCCAGGCACTGTTCTACTTTATTTAATCCTCCCAACTGCTGCTATTACCAACCCTATTTTACAGACGAGAAAATTGAGGTAGAAGAAGTTAATTTGCTTGCCTGCCTTTATAGATTGGCAAAGTGGTAGTGCCAAAAATTGGAATCCATAGCTCCCACGCTTAACTACCTCATATTCTGCCTCTTGTCATGCATAGGAAGCCTCTCACATCTTTGAATTCATCTACATGGGTTTAAAGCCAACTACTGGAACTGATACTTGCTTTCATATTCATTCATTCATATTCTCTCTCTCCTGTCTCTCTCTGACTCTCTGTCTCTCTCATGGGGGATTGAACCCAGGGGCATTTTACCAATGAAGTACATTGGTAAAATGTACTTCATTGGTAAAATGCCAATTTTTGTGAGACAGGGTCTTGGTAAATTGCCTAGGGCCTCGCTACATTCCTGAAGCTGGCCTCCAATTTGTAATCCTCCTTCCTCAGGACTCCAAGTCACTGGGATTACAGGCATGCGCCACTGAGCCCAGCACTTGCTTTTCTTTCATAATTGTTGTTGTTGCTGCCAAGGATGCGCTTGAGCTCAGGATCCTCTGGCCTTAGCATCCTCATGTGCCTCCACGCCCAGCTCCTTTTCACCTTTCTCTGGGCCTCCTTCACCAGCCCCTGAACGGATCCCTAAGGGGTCATGACCTTCCCAGCTTTGCTGGGAAATCCCCAGTAGTCTGCACACTCACTACACATATCTATTATAGCTATTGATTACAAGCTGCCTTGGAGTTGTTTTTCCTTGGCTATTAAAATGTGTATTTGCTTTGTCCTCCAACTAGACAGTAAACACCTAGAGGACAGGTACAATATCCTTCTTTTTCCCTAACCCTTGCTGTACCTAGGACTAAACTGGGACGCCAAGACAGCTCATTAAAAGTTGTTGACGCCTCTCTACCATCTTCCTCCCCACCCCGGCCACGCCCCTTTCCCTCGGTGGCCACTCCACTTCTCCCCAGAGTCCCCGCCCCTTCACGCTCGCTCCCCTTACTTTTATCCCCCAGGGCCTCGCCCCTCCCGCGTGGAGTCCACCCTCCTCCCGCCCCCGCCCCGCAGCATCTTCAGCGTCCCCTAGCGACGAGTTGTCGGCTCCTAGCAACCGCATCCCGATTCCCTGA